AAAAGTCATGCCATGTGTGGTGAGGAGAGTGCGAACAACTAAGTTGTCGAACTCCTTCCTGTTATCTGTTTGTAACGCGAGGATTGGACACTCAAACTGCGTGAAAACATCAGAGTAAAATGTGGCGAGAGTAGAGATAACATCGGACTTACGCCGCAACGAGAAGGTCCATCCATAGTGTGAAAAATCATCGAGAATGACAAGAGAGTAAAGATAGCCCGTATTACTTGCAACTGGAGAGGTCCATACATCACTATGAATTAACTCAAACGGGTACGATGCAACATGATAAGTAGCCCTAAATAGAAGACGAGCATGTTTGCCGAGGCGACAAGCATGACAAGAGTGATCGTCGATCTTATTACACGTGAATGAAAAACTCCGAAGTATATGACGAAGGGTGGCGGGGTTGGGATGACCCAAGCAAGCATGCCAAAGGTCCACACCGGTGGCGAGGGCAACAGGAGCGGCGGAGGTGGTGGAGGCGGTGGAGTGGATCGGGTAGAGCTCGTCAGGGCTGTCACATCGGTGGAGCACCATCAGGGTACGAGTGTCCTTAACAGAAAAACCACACTCGTCAAACTCAATGGTAACAAGATTTTCACGTGTAAAAGAACAATCAGAAACAAGATTTTTAATAAGATCAGGAGAGACTAAGATGTTTGATAATGATAGTGGAGTAGACGTGGGCAGAAAAGATGCATCTCCTATGTGAGTGATGGGAAGTAAGGAACCGTCGCCGACGGTGATGCGAGTGGAAGTGTGGACGGGATAGGAGGTTACCGGGATGAGCGGCCATATGCGCGGTAGCTCCGGTGTCCATGTACCAGTCACCGCCACCGGTGTAGGTGGACAGAGTGGGAGCAGAGTGCAGGGCCTCTAGCAAGGCCGGGTCCCAAGGCGCGGGGGAAACGCGGGACCCGACGACTGTGGCGGGGCCGTCAGGGGCAGCAGCGGCAACCCTCCTGGTTGCGGCAGTTGTCCGTTGGAGAGGGGCCCATAGGGCGCCGCGTAGGGTTGCGGCACGGTGTAAAACGCCTGATGCGAGGGAGGCCGCGGCCGAGGATGCTAGGAGCAGGAGCACGAGGAACCGACATGGAATAGGCATGCAAACACCGATCCACGAATTCCGGCCGGCGTACCACGAGGCCCGCTGAAGCTGCTGCTGAGGGTGGGTAGCTCCTCCCTGAGCGTCGTTAGTCTGCTGCAGCTTGCACCCACTGCGGCGACCCCCGTTAGCAGCCGGTTGCGGTGGCGGGAGGGCCGGCGCGGGGCATGGCTGAGGTGGCGCCGGGCCCCCGTGGGTGCCGGTGGTGAGGGCGGTGTGCGTGGCCCGGGTCCGCGCCATCTTCATCTGCCTCTCCTCCAGCTTGAGGTACGCTACCACCTTGGCGAAGGTCGGCTCCGGGACGAGAGTAAGGTTGGAAGCAGTGTTCCCAAAGTCCTCATTGAGACTGGCGGTGAGGGTGCTGATGAGGAGCTCGTCGCCGACCATCGCGCCGAGATCTCGGAGCTCATCGGAGAGCTTTTTGAGGCGCATGCAAAATCGTCAATGAACGAGTCAAGCTGCTGGCACCCATAAAACTCGTTGTGGAGGAGGACCTTGCGCTGGAGCTTGTTGTAGGTGAAGATGCAGTTGAGCTTGGTCCAGACGGCGTACACATCGTCGTCGTCCACCACAGTGTGGAAGAGGTCCTTGGAGATGGTGAGGTAGAACCAGCAGATGATGGTGGCGTCGAGGATCATCCACTCCTCGTCATTCACCATGAGGTCGGAGTCCACGGTGCCATCAATGTGGCCATGGAGCAAGTACTCACGAAATACCACTTTCAAGCAGAGTAGGAGGCGGTGGATTGATCTAGAACCACCGGGACGCGCTCGTGAATGTTGAGATCACGAACGAGGGTGACATCTGGACCGGCAAAGGGATTGGAGGCGGTGGAGACAGAGGAGCTCATAGCGGCGACAGGGAAGGAGGGGCGGGTTGGGGCGGGCGGCGGCTAGGTTACAGGTAGGAGAGGGGTGGCGGAAGCGGCGCGCAGCGGCGGTTGTAGGGAGTGGCGGCGGCGGCGGTGGCTAGGGTTAGGTTAGGATTATGAGCAAAACTGATACCATGTAGAAGATGAGGTTTGGGCCGTGCAATTCTCAGTGCATTGATCGGGTGCATTAGGCACGTATATATGATGTACAAGACAGACCAGAATCCCAACTATACACGAAAACTAGGAGGTGGACTTACGACACAATATACATGCACAATATATTCAACAAGACCTACACACGCACTTGACAAACATGCTGGAGGATGGGAAGGAATGGATGTGACATTCAGCGTCAGCGAGCAACAATTCAGTGCACATAGAAGCGTGTTAGCCGCGCGATCCTTGGTTTTCAAGGCCGAGCAGCACCACACCGGGCAACTCAAGAATGCTTGTCTCAGCGCCTATTTGGTTTCAAAAAGTCACCTGACTTATAAGTCAGATGACTTAAAATCAGTGACTTATAAGTCATGCATGTTTGGTTGTCACCTGACTTATAAATCATCTGACCACATCTTTTCACTTTGTTTTTTTAATGTAAAAATGATGAGACCCACGTAAAAGGGGATGATTTATAAGTTTTAAACTGGGATGGAGCAACTTGTGACTTATAAGTTGGGGTGACTTATAAGTTGGGTCTGTTTGGTAAAATAAGTCACTTTTTTTACTTTTTGGCTTGTAAATTCGTGACTTATTTGGAACCAAATAGGCCCTGAGATACCTTTCTTCATAGGATGTGCTTCGAGCTGTGAAGGAGACTGATGGATTCAAGCACCTCACAGCAAGCTGCCCATGGATTATGATGGACATTCTAGAGAAGGTCGTGCCGCCGTCAGCAGTATCAGCAGTCACTGGTAGAAAAAGGGCCTTTAGTCCTGGTTCGTAAGGGCCTTTAGTCCCGGTTCTGGAACCGGGACTAAAGTGTCGGTACTAATGCTGATTTTCTTTTTGATTTTCTTTTTGAATTTTTTTTGAAATTTTTTTTGAAATTTTTTTATTTTCAAATTTCTGAATTGTTTTAACCTCTAATCTCTAATTACCCCTCATCACTGCTCAATTTAATCTCTAATCACCCCTCATCATTCCAAATCATCTCACTTCCCGAACGGTCACCCATCCTCTCACTACTCCAGCCTGAGCACGCTTAACTTTTGGTTTCTATTCTCCCTCATTTCCAAGTCTGCACTTGTTGTTTTCCTGACAATAGTAAGATGTCAATCCTATTAACCCTCAAGAATTTAGCTTGAGCATGAAGTCACATATTTCACTGTTTGAGTTTAAAACTATTGTTCTAAAAAACAATATTTTTTTAGTAACACTAATATTTCTTGAATAAGTAGTTTGACCATTGTTTGACCATAGTTTGACCAGATTTGACCAAAATTCAAAAAATGTGAAATAATTATTTAATAACACTAATATTCTTGAATAATTATTTAGTAACAACAATACTTCTTGAATAAGTAGTTTGACCATAGTTTGACCAGATTTACTGAAAATTTAAAAAAACTGAAATTTGAGCATAACTTTTTTTCCTTTTGGAATTTGAGGATTCTACAAATTTGCAAACAGGTCGTAGGCGGTCTCCATCGGATGTAACTTTTCGAGTAGATGATTTTTCATATAAAAAACTTTTTAATCCGAGTTCGTATGCAAAAGTTATGCCCATTTTACAAATTCCAGAGAGATTTTGTAAATAAAGTCGAAATTCATATTTGTAAATTTTCCCAACAACTAGACCACATATCACATGTGAAACTTATTTTATTTTATTTTTATTGACATTTTCATCATTTTCTTTTGTTTTTTCTAAAACTGAAAAGGCGGTCCACAGGGGGGGGGGGAGGTTTGAAAATGGGACCTTTAGTACCTGTTCGTGCCATGAACCGGTACTAATGCCTCAAAGCCCATTAGTCCCGGTTGGTGGCACCAACCGGGACTAAAGGTCTAACCTTTAGTACCGGTTGGTGCCACCAACTGGGACCAATGGGCATCGCACCCTTTAGTCCTGGTTCGTGGCACGAACCGGGACTAAAGGGCCAAGGTGAACCGGGACTAATGCCTTAGCCGCACGAACCGGGATAAATGCACCCATTGGTCCCGGTTCTGGACTGAACCGGGACTAATGGGCTTACCCGGCCTGGACCAAAGCCTCCTTTTCTACTAGTGAATCTGGCTTTAAATCTTCTTTTTAATCATGTCTCGGCATGTCGATTGCAGAACTGAGGAGAATGTGTATTCTGTGCTCTTGACGTTTGCGCTAAAAGACTGAGAAAATCCACTCTGAAATTTCTGAAACGTTTTGGGAATGTTTGTGCTCTTTCTTTCATTTCCGTTGCCTTGTTTTCTTTCTTCCTTAGTTTTGGTGGTTTGAATTTCCTGTCCAGCCAAATGGCGGAAGGTTTACACACGCTATTACATGGATATATACTAGCTAGAGTGAAGATTTGAACCTGACCTTATCTGCACTACCAAAATCCGGAGTCCCTTCCACTCCAAAGTTATCTCAGCCTGGTCTTATACTTGTGCAATCAGATCAGAATCAGATGACTTATACTCCGACCCTATCTCCAAGTTAAGAATACCTATTCCCTTTAATAGTAGGTATAGATATAGATATAGATATAGATACTCTTTATACTTATTCTCTGAATAATTCTTATTCTTGCTATATTTTGAATTAATAAAAGCACCCTTTATTGAGAAAAAGAAAAGAATAATAATGATTCTGTTTCAAAGCATCAATCGTGACATGGGAAATGTCAAAACATATGAAGTTACGATGCACTTGCAACTCTGCAAGATGAGTTCTTAGCACATCATCCGACTCTCAGCCATCCACCACAGAAAAACATAGAGCCGAACCACAGAAAAATAGCTGAAGGGACTGCTTACATAAGTAGACATACATAACAGTATAAACTTATTACAGCCACCCTTAATTTCGATCTCATCACTTAGCTAGGTACTGACAAGAAGTCGCCTCTTGTAACTGACCATCACTCTTCCTTTAGGCCCTGGTATGAATTTATCAATTTCTTCCTCTGGAAAAGGCGAAATCATTTTGAGCTCAAAGTTCCTCAGCAAAAAACTCCATATCACTTTAATTTGCATGTAAGAATATTCCTCCCCGAAGCAAGCATGCCTCCCACCACCAAATGATGTGAATGCAAACTTGCCGCCAGCTTTGTCCTCCTCTCTCCCTGGACCAAAACGGTACGGGTCATATACATGAGGGTCTTTATAAATATGTGGTAGCTGGTTGCCAACCACTATGGAGGTAGCTACGGTATGCCCTTCTGGAATTTCATAGCTGTAGCCTTCTCTTGTTTGTACAGTGAAGTTCTTCTTCACGTGGCGCATTACCATTGCTGATGGAGAATGCATTCTTATTGCCTCTTTGATGCAGGAATGTAAGGTTCCCATCTCTAACAAGATGTTGTAATCTACTACTACATCTTGTCCGTGTTTTCCAATGATTTTCTGTTGCTCTTCTACAGCGGCTGCTAAGTACTTTTCATGGCTTATTAGACAAGCTCCCGCCCAGCAAACAACAAGCTAATGAGTAGCCCAGTAATCTCACTCTCGGTCATAGAGCGGCCATCCTCCATGCATTTCGAGTCTATAAGTTTCTGTAGCACATCATCCTCAACTTGGCCTGAGATTTTACGTGATCTCACTATCTCATGGAATATATGTCCCAGCTTAGCACACGCTTTGTCGCGTTGCCGGTGGGCTGGGATTGGGATATATGGGAAAAAAAGGCTGATGAAGTGCATGCCATTTTTGCAGAGATCATTGATGAGCACAGAGACTTGTTCGAACATCTTCTCACGGACCTCTTTTCCAAGCAAGCAACGGCTTGCGATTAGCATGAGTACCTCTGCCAGCTCATGCTTTAGATCAATTATGCCCTCTTGTTCCCATTTTGAGAAGTAGTCCTACAAAATGGAGATGAACATCACGAGAAATGAGCCACTCGTTAGTTCATATAAGAAACTATATTGTAAAAGTCTTCTCTTCTTCCTATTGTGCATGTAGTGGAACATACCCAACTAGTTCCTCTATGTTTTAGTTTTCATGCCCCAAACTAGATAAATTTTTCATGAAAGCAAATTTTATGAATTTGGGGGAGGCCATCTAGAGGTTACCTGCTAAGGAGAATGTGCAGTCACGCTTTCTGACCAGCATGTTCTCATCTATATTTGGTACAAAGAAAGTGTTTGGATAGTCTCATAGCGCTAGCAAAACTGCCAACATATACGATCCCTTGGTTGATGCCTATGTGATCTGTTCGCGTACAAACTACTGGTCGACCAATTGGTGTCTGAGCTTTCAGTGCACATACTCATGTTTATCAAAATATACTACACATCTAGGTTTTGAGCAGGCATCCTTACAAACATTATATGCCTTCTCAAGTTTAGAATTTTAATTATTAACTATGATCAAAGTCATTTGTCTCGGAAATGTGCAGGGCATGTGCTTGTTTTAGCAAAAAAAAAACAAGAGATTAAGCTGCACAAGCCCATATTGTCCAGCTAGGTCACCTTGTGGCTTTGATGAAGAAGTTTATTTCAGCAAATTAAGTAGAAGTTTCAATTTTGTTTGAATAATGTAAATTAATTGTTTGTGAACTGTTAAATTTTGTGCAAGAAATATATTGTACTGTACATTGCACAAAAACAATACTTATAGTAAAGAACAACTACAATATATATAACATAGAGCTTCGGAAAAAGAATATAACATAAATATTATGTGCCCACAAAGTAATTTATAGGCATAATAATAATAATAATAATAACCGGTATGTTGCTTGCCTGTACTTCATGAACCATATAATCAACTTTGCTTCTCAATTGTGTTGGCTTCATTGCATCTATAGCCAAGCGTATCTGTCTGTTTCTAGTTTCGAAATCCACATCAAAAATAACTCCTTTGCCGAAAATAGGGATAGTGAATTTATACATATCCGGGTGGCAGAGTTCCGAGTTCTTGGCTTGAAAGAAATGAGATGTGACCTCCGGTCCAACCAATAAAGTCACCTTCTTCAAACCAAACAGATTCATTGTGAATGCACTGCCCAGCTTTGCATGCAGGTCATGGAGTACTGGATGTAAACCCTTGGTCAGGATCGTAGGCAAAGCAGCTACAAGAGAAGCACCACTTGCAATAGGTGGCTGAAGCGACCCCTTTTCTGGCCTTGGAGCAACGATTCTTCTTACAATAACTTTTGTGATGATCACGGTGAGAAAAATAACTGCTATACTGAAATACGCACCCGGAGGAAATGTTATATCCATTTTGGTACAAACTTAGAGTTGTGGAGCAGACGGGCCTAATGAACAAACAATGATGGACGTTAGGATAAGTAGGATGTCATATACATGGTATTCTATGGAAGTGTTCAAAGTAAACCAAATCACGGTGTCATGCAAATCTCCACATAAATCCCTTTTTGTGGAAAAATATCTACATAAGTTCTTAGGAGCATGTAATCCTCGGAAAAAACAGAATACATAAATGAGCTCAATTTTTTTATTACATCCAAAAAACATCTAAGATTAGCTTGAGAGAGAGAGGAGTAATTTTAACATGCCCCCTCTTATCACATGAGAGGTAAGAAGATAAGAGTTAATCTGACCACTAGTTAATGACTTAGATCTATTATGTACTCTTACCTCTCATGTGAATGGGAGAGAATGCTAAAATTTGCAGAGAGAGAGAGAGAGAGAGAGAGAGAGAGAGAGACCGTACCTTGTCTTCCAGTTATGGAACTTATGCTACTGCAATGAGATGGAAGAATGTGTGAAGCAATGTGCTATCTTATAGGGGTATTACGATCGAAAGTAGCACATAGTTTACTGTCATATGCGAAATAATCCAGCTCATCCTTTTGTGAGGTTGACTTGACAAATAGTTGTTAACTAAAATGGCGTGGGATGTGCATGGCATAATTAATCCAGCTTCTGATGTCACCCTGTAGGTTTAAATATTGAAATTTTGATTTATGTGCAAGTTGCCATTGTCTCTTCCTGCTGACTGAAAATAGGTCTTTTTTTGCTGAGAAGGCCGGGCAAGGTTGGTTTTGATGCCAGATTCTTGGGTTGTCTAGTCAGAGGAGTGCTTGCAGAATAACAAAGCGTTGTATAAAATGAGCTCTTAAGGGCGTATAGTTCGCAAAATATGTACACCAAAATATTATGTACAAATTTCAACGGAGTATTCAACCGTGATATTGTGCACTCCCATGTACTTGCTCTGTAAATTAATAAAGATCTTGTAGATCACTGATCTAAAAGATATAAAAGCATGAAGCATGCCCTCGGATTAACAATTAATTATCGTCTCATCACAGCGATGGCTAGCTACTACTTGCAATAATTGCGTAGCTAAGTGGAGAAAAATCCTGTGTTTCTTAGTGCTCCCAATCAAACCAAACGAAACCATAGTAAATCTCCCTCTCGGATCCACATTGTTTGATACGTTTCCTTGTCGTCTTGGAGCATCGGGAGGAAGCGGCGATGGTCCTCTCCGCCCTATGCCCTCCTGGGTACGCGATTGACCACGATATCGTTTGGGTACGCCAAAGGCTAAAAAGTCTTTGGTTTGATAGAAACGTGCCACCTCCCTCCGTTTCTTTATTACTGTCTTGACTCCTGGCTTGGATCTTAAGCAGGTTCTAAGACCATTTTGGTTTTTATATGAAAAAAATCGGAGAGCTCCTGCTAAAAGAAAAGAAAAATCTACGCCTCTCCATGTTTAGATACACCGATCTGTATGTCACAGTAAAATGTGTTTAGATACACCGATCTGTATCTAGACAAATCTACGCCTCTCCATGTTTAAATCCTCATCTTCATCCCAATGCCTCTGTAGCACGTCACGTTGGGTATGTAACAACATGCATGCATGCATGGTGAGATCTGATAAGATCATCTTGCAATCTCCTAATATCTTTTTATTCTTGTTTCCAAGGATCTTCTATTTTTTTACTGAATACTCCCTCTGATAAGATATTTTTGACACTATGCTAGTGTTAAAAACGTTCTTATATTTTGGGACGGAGGGAGTAGTTTTTAAAAAATATCTGAGTTGGCTAGGCTTGGCTTGACCAATATTACAAATCCTTGTTTTACAATGGTTCCATGGAGTTTATCTTGAGCGAAATATTTTTGGGACACCAGTAGTAGCCATCTGTGGCAATCTTAGAGGGAAACTTACTCAACGAATCCTTTGAGTTATTTTTTTTGTGGAATAAAGAATTCGTTGAGTTATTTCTCTATAGAAACTGATTTTTTTTTTGCTTATTTGCATATTCCGTATATACTGGCCCCAGTCCGGGTTTGGAACATTAGTTGCTCAGTCGAAATATATGAGTAATCAGAATAAATGATGCAACACAAGTAGAAGTAGCACACAACGCAAATCTTCAAGGTGAGGCATTAATCACAAAATATATTGTAGCTCAAAGGACGTCATTGGATAGCTTAGAGAAAACACGAGTACGTATGTAGGTAGGCAGAAGAAGAAAAGGTGGATTTGTTTGTTTTGTTTCGTCTGGCCGGCCACTTGCAGATGCTTGGGTTTAATGGACTACGTGCCGGCGATGGCGTTCTACTTCCTTGTGGAGCAGCAACTCTCCTACCACCGCAAGATGGGGGTCCTGCCACACTACAACAAAATAGGAATGTATGGTCGTTTTTTCTAGGACGCTCTTTGTATTCGTCACTATGCATGATACTGGTACTACTCCCTCTGTAAAGAAATATAAGAACACTCTTATATTTCTTTACAAAGGGAGTACAAGGCGGCGGCACCAGCATTGGAATTTGGAAAGGCTTGATCTAGTTTGTCATGATCTAGTTTAGTTTACAATGGAGATGATCTAGTTTGTCATATGGCTTGATTCTCAAGCTAGATATATACAAGGCAGGACATCAACCAGATCACAATCGAACAATTTAACTCAACAAATTACATGGTTAATAACACAAACTCTAATAGTCCCCCTCAATCGGAATTTATCTAAGTTAGTTGCGTGCCGATTGTGGATGTTATGATGATGGAGCTCTTTTAGGGTGATTGGCGAGTTACAACTCGTAATTTCATGTAACTCCACCTCCAATTTTTACTAACCGTTAGATCTGGGAAATTAGTTAAAGAATTATTTTTTGGTCAAAAGGGTAGAATGGTAAAAAAGTTCCTCCCATCCGTTCTGCAGGAGCATTAGCCCCCCGTCCCCCACGCACATCGTTGTGTTTCTCGTCGCATAGCCGCCGCCGCCCTTTTCGTCGTTCCGAACGAGAGATCCCGCGGCGGCCCCGATCGAGGGCAAGCACCAGCGGCCCGCCTCCCTGGTTTCGATCTGCTCCTGCCACCAGGGTTCCGGGGATCCGCTGCGGCACGCCAGCCAGCCGAAG